ATTTAAGTCCAGTTCCAGGTGGGAAACTGAGGTCTGTGTGAATGTAGGGTTCAGAGGAGCCTGGAGCAGAGGTGGGACTCAAGTCCAGACCTTCTGATTTTTTGACCCAACACCCACCTCATAACTTAGTTGATTGTTTTTGCTTTACTGAGAAGGCTCTGTGACAAAAAAACACCCAAACTTGGGTTCAAGTTGAAATTTTTCTCCTCCTTGCTGTGGGACTTCAGGAACAGTGGAACCTTTCTGTGCTTCAGCTTCCTCAACTGTAAAATGGTGATAATGGTAGTATCTTCTCAGAGCATTGTGATGGAAAAAAAATAATGCTATGGTGTGGATTGCATGTTGGAAATAAATAATCAGGGCCAGGACTAAGGTGAGGGAGGTACTTGCCTTGAGAGCAAAATTTAAGGGGACACACACACACACACACACACACACACACACACAAAAAACCCTCAGTAATCAAAATAAATGATGTTTTAATGCATGCCCTTGCTAGTGTGGCTCAGTGGACTGAGCACAGGCCTGCAAACTGGAAGGTCACTGGTTTGATTCCCAGTCAGAGCACATGCCTGGATTGCAGGCCAGGTCCCCAGTTGGGGCATGTGAGAGGCATCCAATCAATGTGTCTCTCCCACACTTTGACGTTTCTCTCCCTTTCTTTCTCCCTCCTTGCCCCTCTCTAAAAATAAATAAAATATATTTTTAAAAACCCCACAATTCAAAAATAAAAATAAATATTTTTTCAATGCAATGTTTTAAAAATAAAAATTAGTGCACGAAACCCACAATAAACAAAATATCAGCATTGTAAATAAAGACAGGATCTGCATTCCCAATTTTCTCCTTTTGTCTCAGGCTCCAGTGCAGCTTGGCACAGCATTAGAAAAACTGTCTGGACCTGGCACATTTTCTAACAATGTAGTTATTGTTATTTTCTGAGACACTCTATCCATTTACTCAAAACAACTTTATTGTATTAGGCACTGGGGGAGGCACATTTACTAATTTGGCAACTAACCTTCCTTTAGGGAGGGTGAGGACAGGAAAAAGTAACTCTTCTCAAAAATAGTATGCATGACAATGGAAGGAATTGTGTCCTAGCTTGTGCTCTCCCCAGTGTGAAAGTCCCCTATGACGGCTGCTTCTTTTGTGGAATTTGAGCTCACAGGTGAGCTGCCTGCAGATCACCCACGGATCCAGGAATGTCAGATAAGGTTGTCAGCAAAGATGGCCAAACCAAGGTTTAACTCCATCGACGCACTGGGGAGAAGTCTAGTCAAACCCATGGGGAGAGGGTGCAGAAGCTATTTGGAATTCTGACACATAGTAGGTACTCAGTAAATTCACTGTCAAGTGTATGACTCATCAGAAGTACTCTAACTTCTTCATTCTGCCTCCCACGCAGAGGCTCATTCTGGCTTCACAGTTCCAAAGGAGCAGAGAACTTGCTACAAAGGAAGAAGGAGAAATGGGAATGTAGCCTGGAAATGGCTGCTTTGTTTGTTCATTTCTTCCTCTTCTTTTCCTTTTAACCATTTCATTTTGAAAAAAAAATATTTAAACTCACAGGAAAGTTGCAAGAAAATGCAATGAACTTCCATATCATCTTTACTCAGATGCACCCACCCATTGTTAACATTTTGCCAACATTCATTTCATCTTTGCCTTTTTCTCTACATATATATTTGTCTCTACTTCAACCATATAAGTGGCAGACACAACTGCCCCTTCATTCTTAAACACTTCAGCCTACGTTCCCCAAGGTCAAGGACAGTTTCCTATGTAACTACAATGAGGTAATCACAACCATGAAGTTAAAATTGTGACAACACTACCCTCTAATCCTTAGTCTACATTCCAGTTTCATCAGTTGCCTCTATACTGTCCTTTATGGAATTTCTTCACAAATTGGGATTCAGTTCAGGATCATGCAATGTGCTTCATTGTCTTATGTTTCCCATCTCTTTTGCAGAGAGGTGGGCTTGTAGTAACAAGATAACTCTATTGCAAACCAGACAGCTGTGGTTCGATTCCCAGTCAGGGCACATGCCTGGGTTGCAGGGCAGTTCCCTGCAGGCCAGTTCCCAGCAGGGGACGCACGAAAGGCAACCATACATTGATGTTTCTCCTCCTCTCTCCTTCCCTTCCCCTCTAAAGATAAATAAATAAAAATCCTTTAAAAAAGTTTAAAAAAAGAAGGTTTTAAAAATAATTTTATTTATTATTTTTAGAGAGAGGGGAAGGGAGGAAGAAGGAGAGGAGAGAAACATAGATGTGTGAGAGACACATCGATCTGTTGCCTCTCATACTCCCCCGGCTGGGGACAAGCCCCAGCCATGTGCCCTGACTTGGAATTGAACTGGTGACCTTTCAGTTCACAGGTTGGCACTCAATCCACTGAGCCACACCAGCCAGGGCAGAATTCACTTTTAAAGCTAGGTATATTAAGGTATAATTTATAAACAGTAACATTCATATTTTTAGGTGTACAGTTCTATAAATTTTGACAAATGCACAGTTATGTATCCAACATGATAGTCAAGATACAGAACAGTTTTCTTCACCCCAAAAGGTTCCCTTGTGCCCCCTGGCATACTCCATACCCCATTCCTAATTACTGGTAGCTGCTGCTCTGATTGCCATCCTTATAGTTTTGCTTTTTCCAGAACATCATTTAAATGGAATCACATGATATGCAGCTTACAGTTTCTGGCTTCTTTCACTCTTCACAATGCATTGGAGATTCACCCATGTTGTTGTGTATCAGGAATTCGCTTCTTCTTATTGCTGTGTGGCATTCCATTATGTGGGTGGAGGATAGTTTGTTTAGTCATTCACCAGTGCAGGGACACAGGGTTCAGGGACGTCTCTGGGTTTGGGGGATTATGAATAAAGCTGCTAGAAATATTCACATATCAGTGTTTGTGTGGACAGTTATGTTTTGATTTCTCTCCAGAGATACATAGGAGTGAGATATCTGGGTCATATGGTAAGAATATGATTTTTAAAAGATTTTATTTATTTTTAGAGAGAGGGAAAGGGAAGGAGAAAGAGAAGGAGAGAAACATCTATGTGAAAGAGAAACATTGATTGGTTACCTCTCATACATGCCCCAACCAGGGACCCAAACTCACAACCCAGGCATCAAACTGACAATCTTTTACTGTGCAGGATGATACCCAACCAACAGAGCCCCTCTTGTCAGGCGGGTATATTTGACTTTTAAGAAACTGCCCAACTTTTTTTCCAAAGTGGCTACACTATTTTGCATTCCCATGAGCAGTAGATGAATGCTTTTTGTTTGGAATCTTTGTTAGCACTTGGTATTGTTGGCTTCTATTTTAGTCACCTAAGCAGTGTGCAATGTCTTCTTCCCCTTTTAATGCGTAAGGTAGCATTCTATACACATCTTGAAAAACATGTTGTTTTCACTTAGCAGTATATATAGGAGAACACAATCCTACATAATCTTCAACCAAAAACCTAGTTGAAGAGACAGATACTCCCAGGCTATTTCAGCTCCAAGTGAACAATGCTGTGATTGAAGAGACTTGGGGTGCTGTGAGAACCCAAGGGGGTCACCTGCAACAGTCCATGTGGAAGAAGATGGGGGGGAAACCAAAGAGAGCTTCCTGGAGGAGGTACCACTGTATAAACTGAAACCTATGGTTAAGAAGGAGTGAGCTAGGTGAAGTTGCAGGAATTGTCTTACTCATAGAAGGAACATAATGTGCGTAGGTCAAGAGGAGACTCTGGACTTGACACATTTAGACTCAAGACCACTTAGTTGCAGAGTCCTTCATCCTCCCACCTCTTTTGCTCCCACCTCTTTGGTCCATTTAAAGAGAGGCAGTGACTTTCTCTTGCAAACACTGGCCCCTTAGGAGGCTCCATTCTGCCTTCCGTAATAGCCATAGCTATTATGGGTGGTTTGTAATCACTTACTATGCCCTTGCTAATTTGGGTTCTACCCTTGTCATCTCACTGGGAATCTCAGTGAGGGTCCCCTTTGCTCTGTTTTCTCCCTTCTGGGTCTGTAGGATCAGCAACATTTGCCTGTGTCCCAGGAGAAGGGCAGATGCAGGTGGGCAGAAATGACTGAGTCTCATTAAAGAATGTCCCCCATGAGGGCTCCAGTTAGGAACAGTAGCTAATTATCTCCAGGGATAATAAGCCAGCAATGAGTATTAATTAAAAGCTCATCACAGTAGAAAAAAAGATTTAGAAATAAGGGTCTTGGGTGATTCTTCCTCCTTGTTCCCTGCCTGATACATGCACACACACACAGCCCCCTCCTCAGCCGTTACTATAGAGACCTCGCTCCTGCCACCCTCATGAGCATTTATATATCAAGACTGCACAGATGGTGGCCTCAGCAAGCCTGTTGTTCTCTCTTCTAAGGACAGTTTCTGGAGCCCTGAGGATTAAGGAAACAGGGCTACTCTGGACAACATCTGCCTCAGCCTGAAACCTGACCCTCCAGCCCAGGCAGGGGGAGATTAATAGAGGCATTTACCCAGAAGGGGCAGAACACACAAACAGGACCACACACAGGCCACCCTCCTCACCTGAGGCCTCCGGGAATCCCTAACGAAGGTCTCAGTCCCCGCCCCCAGTGAGAACTACACCAGGGACTTAACACTTCAGACCCGGAGAGAGATGAGAGAATCTCACAGTGTGTATCCTGGAATTACTGCAATAATACCAGCTAGTGTTTCCCGAGCATCTACTTTGTGCCGAGCACTGCACATTTTACATATAATAAAATATATGATAATATATACATGCATACTGAAAAAACATGTATAATAATTATTATAATGCTGATGCTCACTTATTTGTCTTAAGAGTTTTATGGATCATCCAAGGGCAAGGGCTCATTTTATCCCACTGTCTTTCCCAGTGCCTGGAATCAATAGTCATTGAATGAATAAATGCTCTAATTCACTTCTCACAGCCATGTGCAGCATAATTAATTACTGAATCTTATTTTTCAGACGTGGAAACCAAGGCTTAGAGAAGTGAAGACGTTCCCCAAGGACACTCAGCAAGTAGGGGGCAGAGGAGGGATCTGAAAGGAGGTCTTCCTATTGCAGAGCTCCCTTCCTCTCATCTGGATGTGGCCCAGAGAGGGAAAGCAACTTTCTCCAGGTCACAAAGCCTGTTAGGGACCCAGCAGGACTCGAATAAGGCTTCCCCCCCACCTCTGCTCTCTGGCACTCTCTTTCTTGGCTCTCCCATACTCCCTTGTAGCCCTAGCAACAAGCACAATGTCCCACAAACATTGGGCCCTAACAGTAGATATTAAGGGATATTGCTGTATGTACCAGGTTCAGGGCTTCCAGAACCTTCTGGCACCTTTTTCAGGTTATCTGCTCTGCTCTCACATCCATCCAAGAGGCCAGAACATGGTTTTGTCCCTGAGGGGGAACAGGAAGAACACAGAGGTCAGATTGCTAGCTTATGGTCACACCAAGAAAAGGTGACTGGCTGGTGCTGAATGTTTCCCCCAAGCCATCCTGCTGCTCCCCTGAACGATTCCTCTCGCACACCTGCCGGTTTCCAAAACCAATTTTCTAGCTTTCCTGTTGGTTCTCTGGCCCTCACAACATCCTTTCTGTAACCCCCTCTTCTGTTTAAGTAGTAATGCCAGCTACCATTTATTGAGCACTCACTAGGTAAGGGCTCTCTCTACCTTGTCTGATCCTTAAATTAAGCTTAGTACTATTGGCCCCATTTCCCAGAGGTGGAAGTGGGCACAGAGAGATTGAGACACTTGCTCAGACTCACACAGCAGGAAAGGAGGGAGAGGTGTTGTTGGAAACCAGAGCCCACACCTGTAGCCACATTGTGTGGTTAATGTCTGTGTGCTGAGTAGGACCAGCCTCCAGTCTCCAAAGGGTGGCTCTCAGCTGCGCAGCCGGTGAGGAAAGCCAAGCCTCCATAGATGGACTTTGTTTCCTGTCCAACCCTGAGTCCTGGAAGGACCTTGAATGAACACCAAACAATGTGTTCTCTCTTTTCAGCTTTCAGAGGTGCTTCGTGTATTAACAAAATTCCTGGTACAACCCTCCCCATCCTTCCTTTGGCTTCCTGTCCTAGCAGTGAAGGAAGCAACAGGAACAGTATTCTTGGCAATAACAGTGGTGGAAGGGAGTAAGATGTACCTGTGTCACTGAGGCAGTTCAGAGGCTGTGCCCTTTGTGCAGAGACAGGAAGGTGAGAAAGAGCCGATCAGTGAACAGAGCCTGCCAGGCCAAGGGAATAATAGGTGCAAAGGGAACAGCAGTTGCCAAGGCCTGGACGTGGGAAGCAGTTTTGGAGAACCTGAAAGAAGTCCGGGTCCAGCCTCCGGTCCGCTGAGCCCCTGGGCCACTTCCTGTGGTCGGTGATAAAGCTAGTCCTTGGAGCCTCTCTCTGTTCTCTGCAAAGGAAGGTGAGGACTGAGACTCAGGACAGGTACACAGTAGTTGCTCAATTAATGTTTGTTGCTGAAAGAATGAATAAAGCAAAAAACTGGAAGGGATTTAAGAGATCAGCCGGTCCAGGAATCAAAAATTCAAATTCATGTAGGGGTATTTCATGTGGAAGTCCCCAGTTTGGGGCCTTTGGAAAAATCAAATGAGGGAACACACCCCAGTGGCTGCCAGTTCGGCACACCTATTCAGTCTGTTCATTTTATCTGTGGAAAAACTGTGTTTAGAGCCGTTAACTGATGCGTGAAAGTCTCACAGCTCCTAAGTAAAATCAGGGACCATGATGATGATGATGAGCTTCTGTTTATTAAATGCCTACTGTATGCTTCACATACATTCTCTCAACAAATACCACTCCCACCAAATACATATTGAGATCCTCCTATTTGTTTGGTTTCTTAATTGTTGAAGAATCAGAGGCTCAGAGAGGGTAAAGGACTCATCTAGAGTCACAGAGCGGTAAATGGCAGAGACCGAATTCAAACCCAATCTGCTCCGAGCTGTCTTTTTATACACTCCCTTCAAGAGTGTATTTTTCATATTTTCGTGCATGAGAAAACTGACACAAAGTGAAATATGGTGTGTGTAAGTCAATACAGCCCACAATGATTGAGCCCCCAAATGTTGAGACCCCAACATGTTGAGAGTTAAACCCACTGATCTGATTCGCGCCCCCAAGTTCAGATTTACCAAGGCTGGAGGCTGCAGTTTCCCACTCGCACTGCAAGTGCACCAACCCTCCTCCCCTACAGTAAATGTACGCAGTAGGCGCTTAACGAGCTCTTTCATGGAGGATATGGAAGCACTGGCGAAGCTGCAGGAGGGAGAGGGTTCTACTTCTCTGCCCTCCCGGCTCAGCTCCTCCGGGCCTGCCCAGCCCCCAGCCCCCAGCCCCCAGCCCCAGCTCCCGCGCACCCGGAGCTCTCCCACCGCAATTACGGTAATTAGCTCCGAGCATCCAGCCTGGGCGGGAGGAGGAAGGGAGGCGGACTTTGGCCCAGGCTGACCTGCTTCCAGGCGGGCCCTCAGATTGGTCCACTCCGAACACGTGACGCACACGGAGGACTTGTTGCTGGGCATCCCAGTGTTGCCGAGGCAACGCCTGCCGCTAGTCCTTCCTGACAAGTGTGGGAGAGAAGTGGCTGTGTAGAGGGTCTGGAGACTTGGCAGGAGAGTGAGGAGGGGGGATCGGAAGAGAGAGCCAAGCTGCTTCCCTCCCCTAGCTCTTCCTAGGCCCCAGCCCCTCAACCCAGTCTCCACGAGGTCCCCATGAAACTGACATCCAGGTGGGTGTACACCCAGGTTTAAGGTCACAGACCCAGACAGGGGGCACGCAGTCTGCCAACACAGATGGGACCCAGGCCAGGGACTCCCCCTAGCATGGTCAGGGTGTACAGAGAGAACACAGATGCACAGATTTTGTGTTAACAAATAGTTGCTGAAAAGCCCACCAGGATCAGAGCCTATGTTCAGAGAGGGATGACACTAGACAAGGTAGAGATGAGACAGTCCCTGTCCCCGAAATCATCATCCTCGTTACAGGTGCCTGTACACCTGACCAGTCTTATGTGCAGTGCCTCAGCCAAGCACTTTACCTGCATTTCATCTTCATTACATCCTGTAGAAAGCCCTTTTACAAATGAGGAAACTGAGATTCAGAATGGCGCCAGCATCTAGCTAAGACAGGAACTCTGCCTTCCAGGAGTGTCTATTAAAACCCATATACTAATTCACTTTATAAAACTTACTCTAATAATCATAGTAATGATAATGTGTAGCAAACAAATTACTCTAAAACTTAGTAGCTTAAAACAACAATATTTAACATTTTGATATATGGGGTCTGTTCAGAAGGTATTCAGCCATGTAATATGAAAGACAGAGACATTTACTGAAGAAGATACAAGACACAGGAAACATTGTACCCAGGACAATGACACCTCAGTCCCCTTCAAAGTAGGCAACTTGGCATTTCACATAGTTCTCCCAATCACCATCTGCTGGCCCATCCTATTCTTCTGAATCTTATCGATGGTCTGAAATTTCTTCCTTTTCAAAGGTGACTTTAGTTTTGGGAAAAGTCAGAAGTTGCAGGGTGCCAAATCTGGGCTGTACCTGGGCCGAGTCACTTGAGTGATTTGAGGTTTTGCCAAAAACTTTGCATGAGACATGATGGATGAGTAGGCATGTTGTCGTGATTAGGCTGCCGATTGTCGGTTGCCCATAGCTGTGGCCTTCTGGATCATCAGAATAGTTTCTGTGAAGGAATGTTCAAGCTTCACGCAAAATTTGATGCAGATTGATTGCTGTACTCTCTCAGTCATTTTGAATACAATGGCCACACAGTACACATGCTCACTCAACAGCACCCAGCGCAGCCACTGACTAGCGCAGTGAAGTCATCACTGTTCACACGTGCACGTTCCAGTCCGCTCTCTGTGGCTGCCAGGTTACATCAATGTCGTGCGAACTGCCCTCATTATATCAGCAATGCTTGGACTTTTTCCAGACAGACTTCATGTACATCTTCTGATCGTCACCTTGTCTTACATAACTAGGATGCAACAAATGTGTGAAATTGAACTTGGATTAAATGTTATTATTCGATATGTAATTCATATTCAAATTTTGCTATTTACGTCATGTTCTTTTTTAAAAGATTTTATCTATTCATCTTCAGAGGGGAAGGGAAGGAGAGAGGGAGAGAAATATCAATGTATGGTTGCCTCTTGTGTGTCCTCTTGTTGAACTGGCCTGCAACCCAGGTGTGTGCCCTGACTGGGAATCGAACCATGGTTGCTTGGTTCCCAGGCCCGCACTCAGTCCACTGAGCTACACCAGCCAGGGCTATATCATGTTCTTTATAGTGCTTCTCTTTTTTGAGCTGGGATATCATCAGAACCATACGTTGCATTTGGTGTTCCTGTCTGAATCCACTCTCTTTGTCTTCCATGACACTTAAAGAGAGCAAAGAAGTTGTTTCATGGGTGAAACGACAGTTGCTTTTGGTTTGGATTTGTCCTGTGGTCTAACTCATTTCACTCATTCAACAAACACTTACTGAGCTCCTACTTCATGCCGGATCCTGGTGTCCCAGCAGCAAATAGGACTTCCTGGTTGGTTGATAAAACCATCAGGTGAGTGGGTGGTAGTGATGCTTCGAGGTGTCCAGCTCATCCAGGCCGAATATCCAGCTCTATCATTCACTGGCTTTATGACCTTACATTGGACACTTTTCCTGGTTGGGCTTTAGTCTTGTCATTTGGAAAATGTGGCAGGTACTAGTCTTAACCACTTAAAGGGGTTCTGAAAATTAATGGACACCACACATGGCTAGACTGGTAAATACCGAATGTACAATAAATGAAGTGAACTCTTCTGCTTTTTGTTATTCTGTGCACCTAGCTCACAGTTTCTCCTCCTCCTCGGCACTGCTGACATTAGGGCCAGGTTGACCACGTTGTAGGGTGCAGAGCACATCCTGGCCTCCACTTGTTGATGCCACTAGCACTCTACCCTATGCAGTGACAGTCACAAATGTCCCCAGGTGTTGCCCAGTGTCCCCGAGGGAAGAGAACAACCCCTAGGTGAGGATATGCAATCT